GTGCACGTGTATAGCCTTAGCGGCGAAGCCGATGCCGAGGCAGCGTTGGCCCTACAGTTGGCCCCAACACAAAGGACCAAGATGGTTTTGGCTAGGTGTGTGCAGCGGAATGGAGCGTTGGATGATGGCGAGACCCTCGAACGAGCATGGTCCTCCACCCTGGCGCAGTTGCAGCCGCAGGCGGCACCTTTTCTGCCTGCCCCTGCGGCCCCTGCAGCCCCTCCAGCTGCACTGGCAGCAGGGAGGGGCGGTCGTGGCCGTGGCCGTGGCCGAGGCAGGGGCAGGGGCTAAGACAGATGAACATGAGCCAGCAAACACCAATACAAATAAATATTAGCCTCGCCATAAAGTACGATGTGCGAGCATGGTCGCGTATATGCTGTGCTTGTTTGTGTACGCATTCCCCCGCTTATTAACTACGAGCTACGCACTTGCAAACATATGTATGTACAAATCTGCAAGTACATGTGCACAACTCGCACATTTCATAGCATTGCATCGCATTACACAGCATAGCACGGCGTATGCAAAGCATCAAATTGCATTGCATCGCATCGCATAATATTGCATAGCATAACATCGCATATCATCACATAGTATTGCGTCGCATCACATTGCATAGCACCGCATAGCAACACATGCATATCTACACACTACATAACATAGCATTGCATAGAGGGGGAGAAGGAGGACGAGGGCAATAAGACGTGGAGGAGAAGGGCGAGGAGGAGGGGGAAACTTACGAAAATATAAATTTCCAAAAATGGAAATTGGTCCATAGGACCAGGCGGCCAGAGGTGCGAACCTATCTCATCCCGGGCAGGTCACGGCCAGGTCCCGGCCAGGTCCCAGCAGGTTCCTAAGAGCGCTCCAGGAGCGCTTCAAGTGGCCTCCAAGAGAGCTCAACATGGTCCGAGACAGTCCAAGAGCAATCCAAGACGCCAAAGATTGCCTCCAGACAGCCCAAAGCGCCTTCAAGACTTCCCGAAGAGGCCTCCAAGAGACCTCCCAAGAGGGCCCACGGAGGCAGAAATTCTTAACTTGCCTTCAGTTTCTGACGGTTTTTGCCGTTCTCGCCTTTTCGGCTTACCGGCGCTCCAAGACGGCCCAAGAGGCTTCCAAGACCGCCACAAGACGGCCCACGAAGCCTCCAAGAGGGCCCCAAGACGGCCCAAAATGGCCCCAAGACACCTCTAGAGGCGCCCAAGACGGCCCAAGAGAGCCCCAAAACGGCCCCAAGAGAGGCCCAAGAAGGGGACCAGGAACCGAAAAGTCCAGCCTTCAGCCCCAAGAGGCCCCCGAGGAGGCCCCGAGAGGCTTGCAAGAGGCCCCAAGGGGCCCCCAAGAGGCACCCAAAGAAGCCCCAAGAGGCCCCCAAGAGGCCCCAACACGGCCCACAAGAGGCCTCAAAACTGCCTCCCAAAGACCCCTGAGAGGCCAACCACGAGAGCCCAACCAACATCCGTGAGGCCTCTGACCCGCCACCCACCGCCTTCGAAAAATGGCAGCCGCCCAACCGCACCGCATTGACCACAACATCCCGACAAACGACAGCGGCGAGGCAAGATGGGCCGGCGGAATGAGCGAAGCGATGAATGAAAAATCAGAAATTATCCCGGCAAAGCAACCGAACAGCGATGTGTAGAAGCATATCTGGAAGCACTGCCCTTGAGATTCATGTAGGAGCCCTGGTGTAGAATTCTGGTATCCTCGCAGTCGCTCGTCCTCCTGCTCGTCCTCGCACGTAGGATTCCTCGTCCTCCTCCTCCTCCTGCTCGTCCTCCTTCTCCTGCTCCTCCCCCTCCTCCTCGTGCTCGTCCTCGTTCTCCTCGTCTTGCTCGTCCTCCTCCTCGTCGTGCTCTTGCCCCAGCTCCTCCTACAATTGGCTCTGGGCATTCAAAATGTAGCCTGGGAATAGTGTTCTGGGAATTCGAAGAGCACGAAGTGGCCTACAGCTGGCCCCGGGCATTCAAAATGTGGCCCGGGAATGGAGTTCTGGGAACTCGAAGAAGACCACGAAGTGGCGTACAGGTGGCTCCGGGCATTCAAAAGGAATGATTTTCTGGGAACTCGAAGACCACGAAGTGGCCTACAGTTGGCTCCGGGCATTCAAAATGTGGCCCGGGAGTGGTGTTCTGGGAACTCGAAGACCACGAAGTTGCCTACAGTTGGCTCCGGGCATTCAAAATGTGGCCCGGGAATGGAGTTCTGGGAGGTCGAAGAGCACGAAGTGTGTGACTGTTTGCTTAAAACGAGCCCGGCCCTGAGCCCGGCCCTCGCTGTCCGGATGCCGCCCAGACCTCCATTCTGAGTCATCAGACGCTCTCTTTTGACACCAGTAGGAGCCTATCAGTCTTCGCTGTTAAATAAAAATGTTCCAAAATCAAGATTATCCCGGCAAAGCAACCTAACAGCGATGTGTAGAAGCATAGCTGGAAACAGTGCCTGCGGTATTTATGTAAGAGTGCCGTTGTAGAATTATGGTGTTCTCGCAGTCGCATTCGGATTCGCAGTGGCAGTCGCAGTGGCAACATCAGCGCCAGTCGCAGTGGCACTGCCAGTAGTTGCAGTAGGAATAGCTACACTAGCAGCAGCAACAGCAGCAGCAGCAGTAATAGTAACAGTGGTAGTAGCAATAGAAGTAATAGTGATGGTAGTAGCGGGCCTGCTCCGGGGAGAACTGGTTGGCCTTCCGTGCTTTACGGACTTTCTCTGCCAGCTGCCGCTCTGCAAGGCTACGCCCGGCATACTCCTTCAGGTGGCGGCCGAGGTCTCGCACTTGCTGCATGAGCTCCTCGGTCTTGTCTCGCTTTTGCTGCATGAGCTCCTCGGTCTTCTGCTTCCGCTTGAGCTCCTCGGTCTCCGTCTGCTGATCAGCACAGCCCAGGGCCCGCACTTCATGCAAAATGTCTTTGGGGATGCGGTCGCGATGGTCCGAGAAACGCAACTTGTTTTCGGCCCGTTCTTGTTCGGACGTTCCTTTATTTCGCTTCGGTATCTGGCCGAACTGCTTCACGTGCTCGACGAGCGTTTGCAGAGGACCGCTCAATGCAGCACGCTGAGGAGCAGCGCTGTTCCCTGCCGCAGGCTGAGGAGCACCGCTGTTCAATGCAGCAGGGTCAGGAGCACCGCCGCCAGACCGAGAACTATCAGCATGTCCTGGCATTAAGGTGCACAGTAGGCGCTGCGCAGTTCCTTTGAAAGAAAATCTTCGAAAGCAGGGCTGTAGCCAAGAAGGCTACGGGGACGATGATGATGATGAAGATGATGAGTCTTGGAAGTGTGGGAAATGGAAAGACACAAAGTGGCGTACAGTTGGCTCCGGGCATTCAAAATGTGGCCCGGGAGTGGAGTTCTGGGACTTCGAAGAGCACGAACTGGCCTACAATTGGCTCCGGGCATTCAAAATGTGGCCCGGGAATTGTGTTCTGGGAAGTCCAAGAATACGAAGTGGCCTACAGTTGGCTCCGGGCATCCAAAATGTGGCCCGGGAATGGAGTTCTGGGAAGTCGAAGAGCACGAAGTGGCCTACAGTTGACTCCGGGCATCCAAAATGTGGCCCGGGAATGGAGTTCTGGGAAGTCGAACGGCACGAAGTGGCCTACATAAAATTGGCCCTGGGCGTTCAAAATGTGGCCCGGGAGTTGAGTTCTGCGAAGTCGAAGAGCACGAAGTGGCCTACAGTTGGCTCCGGGCATTCCAAATGTGGCCCGGGAGTGGAGTTCTGGGACTTCGAAGAATACGAAGTGGCCTACAGTTGGCTCCGGGCATTCAAAATGTGGCCCGGGAATGGAGTTCTGGGAACTCGAAGACCACGAAGTGGCCTACAGTTGGCTCCGGGCATCCAAAATGTGGCCCGGGAATGGAGTTCTGGGAACTCAAAGACCACGAAGTGGCCTAAAGTTGGCTCCGGGCATTCCAAATGTGGCCCGGGAATGGAGTTCAAGAACACGAAGTGTGTGACTGTTTGCTTAAAACGAGCCCGGCCCTGAGCCCGGCCCTCGCTGTCCGGATGCCGCCCAGACCTCCCTTCTGAGTCATCAGATGCTCTCTTTTGACACCACTAGAAAGCTATCAGTCTTCGCTGTTAGGAAAATATCGGCGCTGGACAAACCTTCCTTTAGTAGACCTCCCCTGGGACCGAAACCGACGGACCTGGACCCGCAAAAATGACGGCCGCGACGCCCTCTCGCGAACCAAAAACGGCCAATTCCCTAATCGACGTGTCAGGGCAGGAGGTCTGTCCACCCCCGAGAATCGTCAAAAAATCGCTCAAACAAATGTAGTACTCTTCCCGTAGAGGGACGTGCCCGACTTAGGTATAAGCGTCTCGTCCCCGATCGTGTCTTGACGGTCCCAGGGCCCGTCGAGGGCCCCCAAAAAAGGCCAGAAAAACGGCGGAAAACCTCCGCACTGCAAGGAGGCCTGGGTCTCACTGTGCCCCCACGGCCTCCCCGCTCACGAGATTCGGGTCGGGCGAAGGGGGGGGATAGCAAAGGGGGGGGTTGAGAATCAGCTCACGTAGCTGATTTTCCCGGCGCCTTCCGGCGCCGGAGGCGGCAACGTATCGAGGAATGGGCCCGGCGGCGGGGCCGAAACCAGCTGCATGCAGCAGATTTCGTAACCCCCCCCTTTCCCTATCCCCTCCTTTCGTCCGGCCCGAGAGATGCTCCCCAGAGGTCTGGGCCCCTTCCCCGGCCTCCGCGTTTGATCCTTTCTGTTGATCTTTTTGACAATCCCGCGCCGAGCATGGGCAAAACCCCCCCGTCGACGTTTTGCCACCACGCAAAGGGGAGCCTAACGTTCGGGTCCTGACGCGGGCCTCCAGCAGCCGTTCGGGACGATTCGAGAGGCCCCGGAGCGCTGTCGGCGAGGGGCAGCTGCTCGAGAGCCTCCCCGATCGGCAGGACAGCCCCCCTCGGGAATCGACGAAAACGCCCGACAAAAAAAACACCCTCGAGCCCGGAGCGCGAGAGGGGGCCCCATGGCTCCACCGGAGCCTCCCCGCTCACGAGGTGCTTCGCGGCCGCGGTGGGCACCAGGGCGCCGTACACGAGCCCGGCGACCTCCTGCTGCAGGTCGGGCAGCGCCCAGGCGGGGCTGAGCTCGGCCCCCACGAAGACGCACAGGTCGAGGGCGGGGTCGGCCTGGGGCAGCCACGAGGGGGGTCACCACCTTGGGGGGGGAACGCCATGCCACCGAGGAGGTGGGCCCCCGGGAGCACGCCAGGGCCTCCCAGCACGGCCCCGAACGGCCAAAGCCTGCTCGAGCTCCGATCCTGGAATCTGAATCTCCAGAGGGAGCGGATGGTCCCCTGGGTGGCGACCCCCTCGGCGGTGGACAAACCTCCCTTTAGTGAACCTCCCCTTAGTGAAAACGGCCTGGGACCGAAACCGACGGACATGGACCCGCAAAAATGACGGCCGCGACGCCCTCTCGCGAACCGAAAACGGCCAATTCCTCAATCGACGTGTCAGGGCAGGAGGTCTGTCCACCCCCGACCCCCCTTTGGCACAGGCCCCCAACGGCCCAGCAGTGGGAGCCGCGCGCGCTCCACGACGAGAAGGCGCCCCTGCCCGGAAGGAGCGACGACTGCACAGGCAGGAAGCCCTCGGAGCTCGGGGCGGACTGCTCGGATCTGCGCTGGACCCCCCTCGGGGCCGATGAACCCTGCACCGTACCACTCCTGGGGCGAGGAGCGACAACGCCTCGGGAGACGCCAACGCCATACTGTGCATAGCTGTACTCTCAGGGCCAATCAACCATGCACCGTACCAGTCCTGGGTCGAAGATCGACAACGCCTCGGGAAACGCCAACGCGGTACGGTGCAAACATATCGTCCGCGGACCCCCGTCGCCCCGACCGCGAAGCGCCAAGCGAGAAGCGCGAAAAACGTCGCACCTCCGCGGGGGCCCTGGCCATCGAAGAACACTCGGGAAGCAACTGAGGAAAATCGGGAAAAGCTGCTCGGGGAGCGCCCGTACGTAACCCGGCGAGGTACCCGAGATTTGCCGACGGGCGCCCAGGGGGAGGCGGGAGGCGTTGGAAGCGCCGCCAAAGGGGGGGCCAGCGCCGATCCGATAAATCCGCGCAGAGCTCCGAGAGTTTGCTCTGGATGGGGCACTTATCAACGGGTGGGTGATTGACCTTCCGACGGAGCTTGCCCATCCCCACCCCTCCTCCTCCTCCTCCTCCTTCTCCTCCTCCTCGTCCTCGTCCTCCTCCTCCTCCACCCCGTCCTCCTCCAACTCGTACTCGTACTCCTCCTCCTCCACCTCCTCCTCCTTCTCATCATCATCATCCTCCTCATCCTCATCCCCATCCCCATCCCCGTCCAACACCCCCTTTCCGCGATGATCCAAGGGGCGGCGAGTATTGTCCCATCCAGAGTATGCTTATGCAGTTGTTCCTTGTTCGACCTGCCCCCCGCCATCCGGGACGCCGCGGGTCGGGAGACCACCTCGGCTTGCACGCAAGGGTGGCCCAAACCAGACGAAAGAGTGGCATGTTTGGGTTCTGCGGCATGCCGATGGTTTGCACGCGAAGCGACAGCCCTGAGATCCTGGCGTCGCAACTTGTGCTGCAACGGGGGATTTTGCCTTGATTCGGGCCACAGGACCCTGCCAGGTCGGTCGAGCTCGCAGAATGCAGCAGACAGATAGGGCCCAGGGCTCTGGCGGAGTTTTGTACAATGTCGCATGTGTTCGTGAAGGTGGACCTGAGGGCTAGGCAAGAGTGGCCTGTTTGGTGCGCGGACGCGCGGACGACCACTTGTTTGCCGGCAAATCGACAGCAGCGGCCCGCGTGCTTGGGTTTGGCCACCCACCCCGCTGGCGCGCGCTCCGAGCACCTCGCCTCAAAGGCCACTCTGGCGAAGGGTCACCATTGCGACGTGCAGCCGAACCATGAGGGGGGGGCGGAAAGGGATGACTGAGCTGGCTCGAAGAGGGGGGGAGGTGGGGCGGGGTGCGTGTAGGGGAACAAAAAGTGACATAAACATAAAAACTCGGAGGTCCGCGCGGATTTCTCGGATCGGCGCTGGGGCCCCCCGGCGGCGCCTCCGGCGCCGCCCCTGGCGCGCTCCGCGCGCCAGGGAGGGAGGTCCAGCGCCGATCCGAGAAATCCGCGCGGACCTCCGAGTTCTTATGTTTATGCCACTTTTTGCTTCGCTGGCGTGGGGGGCGGGGGGGGCGGGGCAAACACCGACCTGGCATGGGCGATACAGCGCCGATGTGTCTGCGACAGGCCCTCGACGGCGGAACCGCACGCTCCTGGGCAGGGCGGGGCGCCCAGGCCCCGATCGGCGAGGAGGGGCGGCTGGGAGGCGATGCGGACCCCCCGTCGTTGCCTGCTCCTCCGCCTCCTCCTCCTACTCCTCCTCCTCCTCCTCCTCCTCCTCCGCCTCCTCCTCCTCCCTCCTCCTCCTCCTCCTCCTCCTCCTCCTCCTCCTCCTCCTCCTCCTCCTCCTCCTCCTCCTCCTCCCCCCCCCCCCCCGTCTCGCTTCCCCCCCCCCCCCGCCCCCCCCCCGCCTCCATGGGCCTCGGGATGCGGACCCCTTGGGCGAGGAGGAGGCGATGCGGACCCCTTGGGCCCCTTCCCCGAGCCGTTCTGGCCCCCCGTCGTTGCCCTTGAAACCGCCTGCATGCCGAGCGCCAGCCCTCGTGGTGGGGGGGCAGCAACAACAACCGAGACCGCGGCTCCGAGGACCGCTGCCGGGGCGCACTGTGACCAGGATTGCCCTGCGAATCCAGCACCGGCGGCGACGGGGGAAGGGCAGCGGTATCGGTATTTGTCCTCGCCTGCCGAGATCACCGCTGGGGCTGCTGAGAGGATAGAGAGGTCAGAAGTGGGTGGTACGGTGGCCTATACACCGCCTGATACAGTTTATGAGTGGGTCACATGTGCCCTGAGTAGTTCAAGGTGGCTCGGCAGAAATCAGCTAAGTGGGCTCCGCCCACTTCGACCAGATCTGCGTCCCTTCCTGAACCACTTGGGGCACGTGCAACCCATTTCTGGGCTGGGTTGGGCCAGATATAGCCCACCTTTGCATCCACTTCTGATCCCCCCATCCCCTGAGCAACCCCAGCAGCGACCTCAATGACCTTGGCCACTGGCCCCAGCGCCGAGCTGCGGAAGCCGCGCCCCGGGAGAGTTCCCCGCGTCCCCGGCGTGCGTGTTGAACCCGGCGTCCGCCAGGCTGCGGCCCAGGGCCGGCAGCTGGTCGGAGCACATGAGTGCCGCGCTGCTGCATGAGAGCACCTTAGTGTCTAGCTAATCATTCGGCCAATCACGCCACCCGATCATGTGATCTGATCGCAGCTTCGATCAGGATGGCCACCGCGCCGATCACGGATCGATCACACATTCAAGCTCGAACGATCAAATGATCAAGCCGGACCGATCACGTGAGCGGCGATCACGTAATCCTCCGATCACTGCGATCTATGATGGCCGATTGCATGATCACAAACACTGAGGAGAGCCCCCGCGCCCCCGCCTCGGACACGCCGCCGCGCAGCAGCATGCCGTGGAGGCTGAGCTGGTCGAGCGCGGTGCTGCGCAGGCGATCCACGTCCTGAGGAGAAGAAGAACTCAGATCTCCGAGGACAGGATTTTGTTCAGTCGCGACGTTTCCCTCGATTTCAACCTTCTGGGGGCTGTTTCTGGGTCCCCGGACCGTCCAAACCCAAATGTGGACGGAAAACCACGCTGGGGAAAGGGGTCAGGACCTCTGGGGTCGCACGACCCCCACCTTTTCTCGTCGCGAAGAAATCACGACGGAAGGGTTTTCCACATTTTCGGCATCCACGGGCCCTCGCCAGAACCTGGGGCCGCCTGGGGCAAAAACTGATCCCAGGGAAGGGGTCGGGACCTTCGGGACTCCGCGTTGTGCCAAAAATACGGCGTCGGAGCTCTGGGGAATAGCACACACAAACCTTCAACACTGATTAATTTGGATGCCAGTGGGCGGCTTCAGCCTCAGCTTCCGCCGGCACGGCCAAGGTGTCGCCCATTCGGACGAGGCCCTTTCTGCAAGAGGGTTCGGGCCATGCGGCAACGCGACGAGTTCGCCAGAGAGTGTGGAAGGCAGGGTGCTGACCAAGTGATTGCGTGGGCTGAGTAGCTGAATGGGATCCTGTCAACTCTTCTCGTTGGGGGTCATGTACTTCTTTAGAGGAACAACAATAAAGCGTAAGCATGAACTGTTGGCGGTCCGCGCGAATCTCTTGGATCGGAGCTGGAACCCCCTCCCTGGCGCAGATCCAAGAAATCAGCGCGGAGCGCCGAAAGCTTATGTTTACAGCGTCTTCTCGTCTTCGACTCTTCTTACACGAACTTCGAGGCCCTGCACGTCTTGTCGCTGATGTACAACGCTCGTGGAGGGGAGGGACGCAAGGGGGGGGGGGGCGCCAGGTCGGCCGCGACGGAGACGGAGGCCTGTGGGGCGAGAGCGGGAAGGGGGGCGTCCACCAGTCTCGGGGGAGGTGCCCTCCCCAAAATGCGGCCGGTGCCGACTCGTTCGACGGCGGAGATCCGCGATTTCCCATGGAAACGGGACCCGTCGCTAATCCACGCCCCCTTGATCCATGTTTGCGATCGACCGACACGTGACCGCGCAGATCCTCAGAACCCGCAACACTCAGGCCGGGCGAAAGGGGGGGATAGCAAAGAGGGGGGGGGTGAGAATCAGCTCACGTAGCTAACTTTCCTGGCGCCTCCCGGCGCCGGGAGGCGCCCATGTATCGAGGAATGGGCCCGGCGGCGGGGCCGAAACCAGCTGCATGCAGCAGATTTCGTACCCCCCCCTTTCCCAATCCCCCCCTTTCGTCAGGCCCGAAACACCACAGGAGGCGCCAACTTGATGGCATGCGGTCCGCCGTGCGGAAGAGGTGCGGCCGGCGAGGGCCACCAGGGGCCGAAGGCAGCAGGAACAAACGAGCCGTCCGCCAAGCTTCCTCCACGATGCAAGGGGGTCTGGTGAGGGGGGGTGCCTCTCGAACCAAGTCAAACATGTGCCTATCTGCACAGACAGATCCTCGCTCCCAAAGAGCCCGACCCCTGCCCTGGGGTACTTTTCCATGCCAGATCCCCCCCAGAAAGGGCGCGCCGTGTTTCTTTCACGGTGCGAGGGGGTCTCGGAGGAGACGGGGATGCCACGAACCAAATCCAAAATCTGCCTGTGTATGCACTGACATCCGACGACATGATTTCTGCAGCCCTCGGCCCCAGAGAGGCCCGACCCCTTCCCAGGAGCGGTTTTCTGTCCTGGATCCATTTCTGATGACCCTATGGGGCCCGAGCACGGCCACCAAAGCCCGGAATCGAGGCGAAAAACGCCGGTGGCAAAAATCAGATCGTCGGAGATCTGGGTGTCGCCTCCTCCTTCTCCTCCTCCTCCTCCTCCTCCGCCTCCTCCTCCTCCTCCTCCTCCTCCTCCTCCTCCTCCTACTCCTCCTCCTCCTCCTCCTCCTCCTCCTCCTCCTCCTCCTCCTCCTCCTCCTCCTCCTCCTCCTCCTCCTCCTCCTCCTCCTCCTCCTCCTCCTCCTCCTCCTCCTCCTCCTCCTCCTCCTCCTCCTCCTCCTCCTCCTCCTCCTCCGCCTCCTCCTCCTCCTCCTCCTCCTCTCCTCCTCCTCCTCCGCCTCCTCCTCCTCCTCCTCCTCCTCCTCCTCTCCTCCTCCTCCTCATCCTCCTCCTCCTCCTCCTCCTCCTCCTCCGCCTCCTCCTCCTCCTCCTCCTCCTCTCCTCCTCCTCCTCCGCCTCCTCCTCCTCCTCCTCCTCCTCCTCCTCCTCCTCCTCCTCCTCCTCCTCCTCCTCCTCCTCCTCCTCCGCCCTCCTCCTCCTCCTCCTCCTCCTCCTCCTCCTCCTCCTTCTGGGTGTGTGCTCTCGTCGGCTCCTGGACATCGCCGGGGGCCTCGGCCGCGGCCGGCGCGTCGGGCCTCGCCACCCAGCCCAGCCTCGCAGGCGGCGAGCGTGTCCATATCCGCGCCCTCGCGGTCTCTGAGTCCCAGGGCGCAGTCCCGTGGATACCAGGAATCCTGGCGTCGCGATTGTCTCCACCACAGGCGAGATTGCCTCGCTTCGGGCTCCGGGACCTTCTCGGATCGACCCAGCTCGAAAGGTGCCGCGGAAAGATGGGGTCCAATGCTCTGGTCGAATTTTCTACACTGGTGCACTTCTTTCGCGACGTCGGATCTCAGGGTATGCGGTCGCATGGATCCGCGCGGGCAAGCATCCGCGAAGGGAAGGCCCCGAATCCGCGAAGTTGCGGCCCAGGGACCCAGACCGCGAGGCCGTGGGTACCAACATCGTAAACCCCTGGCGCCGTGAATTTTTCACCACGCGGACCCCCGGAGGTCTGGACCGCCTCCCCAGGGCCGGCTTCTCATCCGAGTTGTTCTTGACGGTCCCGTGGCCCTGCGAGGGCCCCCACGGGGTCGAAACTTTGCAGAAGCCATCCGTCGCGACTCTTGCGTCCTGTACAGCGTGAGGGGGTCTGGGAGGTGCTCCGCCCAGGGCAGCCAGGAGGTGTGGCCGGCATGCTCCCCGGTGAGGCGGGTGCCCCAGAGGCGGTGCGTGAGCCAGGGCGCGGCCCGCCAGGCCGCGGCGGCCCGGTGCCGCGCCGCGGGCGGGACCGCCCAGCCGGTGTCGGCCATGCCCAGCGGCCCCGTCACGCGCTCCCGGACGGCCTGGGGCACGGGACGCACAGGGACACGCGGCAGGCTCGCGTCGTGGCGACCCCAGCGCTGGTTCCTGACACCGCGGGGCTCGTTCCGCCTGGAAGGAGCGGCTGTTTCCGAGAAACCTCCGATCGCTCAACATCGACCGACGCTGGGTCGCTGGCGGCGTTCAGCGTTGAACGCCGGCGGCGGGGTCGACACGACGCGAACCTGCCGTACTAGTACTACGCGCTCAGATTAGATGCTTATTCTCGGGACCTTCCTGGAGCCACTCGCTCCGCTCGTGTCCTTCGAAACTGCGTCGAACGTCCGTCGACTCGAGTCGAACTTGAATTGAAACCGAATCGAATCTGAGTCGAACCTGAGACAAACTTGAATCGAACCAGAGTGGAACTAGAGTCGAACAGATCCGTTAGGTGCGCCCCACGAAGGTACCCACAACGAGCATCTCACTCACTCCGACGCTCCGACAAAAATTAGAGCTTGCCCATTTTTTGCCGTTTTCAGACTCAGGGGGCCCTCGCCCAGCCTCGGGACCGTCAAAAAACAGCTCAGGACGAAAAACTGGCCCTACGGAAATGGTCCAGAACTCCGGGGCCCACGCATCGAAAAAATTGGAGCGCCGCGAGTTGTCTCAAGTTCTCGCCGCTTCCTGGGGAGGTTTTCTCGCCTCGGGATGCTTTCCAGCAGATACGCCTCGCCGAGAGCGTTCCAGGCTCTAAACGCCGAATAACTATGCACCGTACCATTCCTGTGTTGAGGATCGACGACGCCTCGAGAGGCGCCCACGCGATACGATGCACGGACCAGGGGTGCCAAAA